TGTCATAGCTGAACAGGGACTAGAACCTGGGTCTCTCAAGCCCTGTCCACTCACACAGCTGCAGCAGACACTCTCTGAGTTACAGGACAGTTTTCTTGTATAAACCTGCGTAAGAGTTGAGCCTTTAGTCACTGATTCTGCAGCCATTGCTAACCTCCTCCTCCATGAATTTTTCCAGTCTCCTTTTGAAGCCATCCACACTGGCAGCTCTCTGTCACTGCACCTTTTGGTAGTGAAGTTTGTGGACATGTTCAGTATGCAGACAAAATAATCCTGGTACTTTAAAAATATTTGAATACCTATTGAAGTGTTAAACTAAGACAATAAGGTGTGATATATATCTGTGTGCTTGCATATAAATTCCAGGTCCCAGGCTTATTTTTCTCACATTGAGATAGATGCTAATATTCATTGTTGGAGATTCAGCAGGTGTGCATTCTCTTTTAGTTGCAGTGCATACTGAATGCCAATAAAATATGCGAGGGGAGAAAACTACTGTAAGTTGATGCAAGCAAGTGTTTGAGATCTTAGGGCAGCGCTGACTTGTGTTTGTTTCATTAAGCTCCTTCAAGCCAAGCAATTACATAATGCAAATAAGTCAGGTTTGCATTCAGAACTTTCCCGGTTACACTGAAACCTGGGTGAATCTAAAATGAGATTGGGATATTTGTGCAAAACACTCTGGTCAATAAAACTCTGTAGGTATTGTCATAGTGATGATGTTCAATTTCAGGAGACACATCAAATTTCAAAGTTTGTTTGAAATAAATTCGTTGCAAGAAGACTCCCAGGAGAAAAAGAGAATGACTTTCTTTTAAAAGATGCTATTATGGTTGTGTATGAGGCTTGTTAAACGAGAACATTGGTAGAACTTTGAAAAGACTCAATAAACGCTATAACTATGTGGAGGATCTTTCTGTCTTCATTTCATGTTATCCATCCAGTTGATCGTCAAATGATGTTTTCTACTCTGGACATTTACAGATACAGTGCTTACCTACTGGCTTAATTTGAGCTTAAAATGGAAGCATAGGCTTAGCTTGAGTGTGTTCTGGCGTGCCTGGACCATGGCTGGAGATTGTTCACAGAACACCTTGGGAAAGCTTGACATTAATTTTTAACTTTTGGGGACTGCCTGGAGCATTCATCTGGCCCCTTTAATGATGATCAGTCACCTAATTAATACCATTTTGGCATGTCAGATGTTTTGAAAGTTCTATTCTTGACACTCTTTCTGTCAGTTTGTCATCATGTTTACTTTATCTCTTGTTATGCTTTTTTTAGAGTTTGTATATTTTATTGATTTCTTTTTTAAATTGTTTTGGGCCCCTCATGTGCTGTCTTGAGTGCCTGGTAAGACAGAGATGTTTTAGTAAACAACAAAACAAGTACCCTCTATTTATGGTCAGGAATTGCATGTATACCAAGCAAAACCATGGTTAAGGCAAGTTCTCTCTAGAGTCTAACAAGCCAGTTGGACTTATGTTCCCATATATGTGCCCTTAGGACAGTTCTTAGTTTGGCAAGCTAAACCACTGCTTGACCCTATGTTTTGGATTTCAACTAGGGGTCATGCTAAGGATCATTAAATATTCTGTGAGCAGATGCTTTTGACCAACCTGATGGAGCTACAAGTCAGATCAGTGCCCATCCCAGAATGCAGAAGAAGCAACTGCAGGCAGCTCAGGTGCTCTGAACAAAACAGAGACTGCCTATTGGTTGTCATCTAGGATGCACCTGATAACCTCTCCTATTTTTTCAAGCCTTAAGGATACTTGGAATTAACATGGCAGGAGCTGTTTTTTCTTTAGCTGTTGCAGTTGATGCTCCCCTCCCAAACCAACAACATGAGGTCCCTGTGGAAAAACCAGGAAAGTTTAGACTGCAAAAGAGAGATTTATTTAATTTTCAGGGTGGCTTGGCTGAATGAATATTCGAAATTTCATTGCACCAAAGCAGCCAAGCACCTGACAGGCAGCCACTCCTGATGGAAAAGGTTTATCACTATCTAGCAGGGTGGGGAAAATTTCAAGAGGCTGAAAGAAAAGGTTACCCCTCTGAGTCCTAAATAAGCATTGCAGTGCTTTTGTTGCAGGCTGCCTGGAGCCCTTAACAGGAACATCTTTTAAGGGCCTGGCCACTGATGTGAAACATTTTTCAACTCATGGGCTGAATTCAACTTCAGGAAAGCTCTCCATGGCTGCATTCCAGTGGTGTAAGATACAAATGGAGGGGGCCATAATATAAACATTGCCAGCATATTTTAGTTTAAAGCTCTTATTCCCAGTAATTATTTTGACTTTTCAGAATGTGGGGTGCTTCAGAAAAACCAGAAAATCACAAAATGATTGGGGGAAAGGAAGTGGGGGGTAGGGAAAGGGGGTATGGTCATCTTGGGGATCCGGTAGGGGCAGTTTTGACCCTGAGGTCGGAGGTTACCCACACGTGTGCTACAACCTTCTTTTAGAGTTCTCCATTTTGTAAATGACCACTTCTGTCCTAATATGCTGTATATTTAGTGACTGGATCATCCCAGAGTTATCTCATGTTTGTCAAAGTTAACATCAGCATTGGAACCATCTGAAATTATCTCAGGATGGCATTCCCAAACCTGTGATCACAGATTAATTATAGGACCAATATTAGCACTGATACCATGATAAGAAAGTGCTGTTCTATTTCTAATAATACTCAACAACTCCGTTTTAGGTCATCTTTGTCTTCAGCAACTCTGAATTTGTGCATGTTGATTTGGTTTTTCTGTTTTCTGCATCATTGATTGTGCAATAGATTCGATTTGGTTGGAATAATTTGGAGGATCTGGGGAAATCACTTAATGGAATTTGGGCCATGTCTGCATAATCTCGCATTCTGCTTGAGTAATTGAAGACGCTGCTTAATAAACTTGATAAAAACTCCCCTTTGGTTCACATTCCACAGGGTTGTATCTAGAGCACAAAGGCAATTGAAATTGTTATTGTCTGTTTTCTTCCATCCCGAGTCTCTTACTGTTTCCTTGGGGAAGGATATAAAGCTCTGTAATGGAGGCGGGGGCGGGGGGGAGCGTCTCTCACAAAGTGACCCTGGACACGATGGTTTGTTCTCTGAAGCTCCCTTGGCAACGGACAAAAGTGGTGGAAACTTGGAAACCTCGTTCCCGATACCCAACCCAAAGCCTGTTCGAAGAGCCGTGTTTGATATTCTCTTTCCAGCGGCAAACTTTCAGATGTTGACTTTGTGCTCAGCATGAGAACACACATAAAGCAGGTGTGTTTTATTAACAGCATTATTTAATACTATTTTAGTCCCCGTATAAAAATGTGCAGTGTTAGAAAGCCAGGTCTTTTAAAAGGAATATCATTCATTTTGGCAGCTTTTGAGATTGTCTGCTCATCATGCCGAATTTCCCGCAATGGGCTGATTATAGAGAGGGGTCAGAAGAATACTAATGTTGTTTGGATCCCCGTGTGTGATGCTCATGCAACAGGAGCTTGAATCCTCTTGGGCGGTGGAGGTGGCGGCCGTGGTTGGCAGTCCTGGAGCAAGGCCTGGGCTTTCTGAGACTAGCAGGAACCGAGCAACAAATGTAGGAGCATCCGCAGCCCCATCTCGAAGCAGCCAGCCTCCTGTGGCCCCCCCGAATCGCTTAGGTCTTACTTGCCGGGCAGCCCGGCCTCCCGGTGGAGTGGTGCCGTGCATGAAATGCCAGCTTTGGGAGGCTTCCTCTCTGGGGCGTTCAGCTGGTGCTGTTCGTAACGCAGGGCTCCATTGGTCCCCGCTGTTGAGGCTTTCTCACCTCATAGCCTTGTAGCTTGCCTGCCCAGCTGCCGTAGTTTAGGACCCCCACCTACATGTGAGTGTGTTTGTGCCTGTTTGTTTGGGCAAGCTCTGGATGAAGCAACTCGTACACAAACTTATGTCTGGGTGAAGTCTGTCAGGACGCAATCCTGTAGACCCCGGCCTCAATGCTTATAAGCCTCTGAACTCAGCATCCAGTGCAGAGAGGAGAGGAAGGAGGAGTGGCTGAGACAATCTCATCCCCTCAGTGACTGTATTAGCTGCAGCAAAGGAGGCCTGAGTACTGCCAGGGGACCTTACATACTGGCCACCCTGGTATCAGAGAAACTGAGAAAAAAAGCAAGTCAAAGGAACCTCCTGGGCCATCTAGGCTGACCTCCAGCTCCAGCTGGCTCCGCTCAGGTGATCTCCAACACGTTGTTGTCCAATCCTTCCTTCACTGATGGGGCCTCACCCACCTATCCGACACTCACTCTGTGTCCTGTTTAACCCTTTTCCAAGGTTGATTTTTCCGACCTCAGCAAAGTGTCTGGTGCTATTCTTTCCCTGTTGGCTGTTATGGGTGGAGGGATTGGAGTGCGGACCCTCTTCTCTGAGATCACAGCTCTGTTTTCAGCCTTGGATCTGGGAATCGGAAGTATCCTATGGTTTCTTAGAAGCTGCTTAGGAGACACAGGATCACATTATCTGTAATGGTAAAGAAATGATGAAAAATAAACTTCGATGCTTCACCTTGCATAAGAAAGGGCAGGAGTAAGAATAACTATGCCCGGGTTGTTTGCTATATGCAGCCAAAGAGATATTAATAATGTATTTAATCTTACTGGGAGATGGGTTTTTATAGTAATAATGATTTTTATATCTTGGTGCTGCCCTGATAAGTCAAAATAACATTAGTTGTGAGGCTTCAGGCTTTATGTGTATAATAAAATGTGGCATTCATACTTAGATGCTCCATGTGCCTTTTTAAAACCAGTAATTATGTTTCTGTACTCAAGCTGCTGGGAGTTTTATGACATCATCAACGGGTACAAACTACAGGGAATATTTTCCCGTGTTGATGAGAACGGGTTCCATTGCAGCAAAAGTCTAATAGTCTGGTGCAAATTTCTGGTGCAGGAGATCATTATATTATTGCTTTGGCCCACCCAGGTGTTACTTCTTGAATTTAGTCCTGTGCCTGTCTTTTCTCTCCCGGGTAGATTGAAAGAAAACCAGATGCAAGCGCGAGATGAAATCGGCAAACTTCTTGAGCGAGAGCGGGCCGCCTCAAACGAGCACTTGGCCAGAACCATTCTTCGTGAGAGAGCAGCAACGGAAGAGGAGCGCCTGAAAGCACAGCTGTTGGTAAGTGCCGTTGTTTTGCTTGAGGCTGAGAAGCAAAGTACAGATGCTGCAGAAGTCCCATAATAGCTCTGGGAGCCCTTCTGTTGCTTTCCTTTCACTTTTGGTTAAAATATTGGCAAGCCATGGTGGACTGCAGAAGGGAAGCAGAGTTTCAGAGCATTCTGTGATCGCAGGACGGATTCAGTGGTTGCAGTAGCTCAGTGATGTCTGGAACGTTGTAAGAACCTGACATTCGAGGCTCCTGTTCCGCCCCTTCCTTGGGGCCAAAGACCCTGCACAAGGCATTTGCTCCTTTGCGTCCTTTATGGAAAGGGAGGACTTGCACTGGAGAGGAGCTGAGGACAAGCAAGCTAGTAACTGTAGCGCACTTTTTATGAACAGCTTTAGGAATGGAGCTTGTGGCTTTTTTGTCATGGTTTTTGGGCCTTATATACTCAGGCCGTGAACCATTGATTCAAGGGACTGGACCATCAGACAAACGGAATCATTTCTCTCAGTCAGTCAGTCAGTCAGTCAGTCAGTCAGTCAGTCAGTCATTGCCTTGTGTGCTGTCCACCAATCCAGATGGATTCCCTCAGTGGCTTACAGGTGATTCTAATTAAGATTTTACAAGATGTTATCTTCACTCTACCACTAAAGGATGGCCTGTTCAAACAGCTCTGTGAGCAGGAAGCCATCCTTGTTTTCTTCATCCAAAAGCAAGTTTTTAAAAACTATGCCATTTTCCATTGAGTTTGTACCTGCATATGTCTCAGATGTTGGGATATATTCTGCTTCCGAAGGTTCCTGTAGCCTTCAAGATTGTTGTTGTTGTTGTTTTTGGACCGTTAGGCAGAAGATGATAATTTTCCATTAAATTGATCTTGTGAAATAGGTGGGAAAACTTTCAAGCTTTGTAAGGCTTTGTGTAAGGTGGCACTGGAAATTGGAAGAAACTGAATAATGAATTTAATGAATTGGAAGAAGCCAGATTACGAATAGTGGCACAACCCTGTGCTTGTCTTCTCAGAAGTAAGCTCCAATGAGTTGAGTGTGTACAGATAAGGTTGCAGCTGGAAGACACAATCCTGTGTGAGTTTAGACTAAGAAAAGGCCCAGCATGTTGGGAGTTGTAGGCATTTCCTGTCTAAACTTGCATTGGGTTGCTTCCTAAGTAGCTTAAATTAGGAGCCTGTTTGCCCTTGCGATGTATACAGTAGGATTCCTGTACTTGGGAAAATTCTGCAATCTTTAAGTTCCAACAAATCATTCATTCATTCATTCATTCATTCATTCACTCTCCTCTTCAGCTAAGAGAGGCCCCTAGATCCATAATAGATGCTCTTAGGTTCACAATCTAAAAGTCATGGTACAAAAAGAAAAGGGATCGGCAAAGAGGAGGAAAGAAACAGCATCTGATATCACTTCCTAATTACAAAGTTCTTACAGTGATCGGCTGGAATAGAAATCATTCCAGGAGAGGCAGAAGCAGGCATTTCCAGTCTCCCCGCTGAGCCAGTGGAACGGATTTGCTCCTCATCCCTCCCTCTGTGCAGCCTGCCGGCATGGCTGCTGCAAAATGAATGGAAGAGTTTGCTTCTCAGAAGAATCGCAGTGACCAGTCTGTTAATTCTTTTGTCGCTGTTCCATGCCAACAAGTCATTCCACGTTTAGTGACCCTATGAATGACAGCCTTCCAAAATGCCCTGCCCCACTCAGCGCCATTCAAGTTCAAGGCCGTGGCTTCCTTTATGGATTCAGCCCACCTCACGTTTGGTCTTTGGGGTAGTTGTAAACACGGTGACATCAACATAAATAACTTATTGATGTTTCATCATTGGAAAAAATGATGAGTTCCAAGGCGAGCTATGGCGAGCAAGGCTTTTAAGAAATGGATCTGTTGATAATGTAAGTTCACAAGGGCAGCTACATTTCCATCTCCTTATAACGATCTGACATTTTCTATTTCCATATTTGCTTCTCTGTTTGGGCCAAAATGAGCTGCCATTAAGACTTTACATTTTGGAAAGGCAGTTTATTGAGGTTCTAGTGATATAAAATTCTCATTTCCTGTTGAAGAGGCAAAGGAATAAACTTCTGTGCACTTTGGGCCACATATAACATATGAAGTTGATTATTGTTTGGAAGAATCTTTCATAGGAAAAATATATCGAGAGAATATATGAATATGCTGCCTCTTGTCTGGAGACCATTTATTTTTGAGGAACCCCCTTGCTCTCCCCCTTTCTCTCTTATGTTACCTCAATATATTGGACCTGGCGATTTCAGGAGAGAGTTCTCTCACTGCACACCTGCCTAGCTTATTGGTTCACCACCAGTGTTTACTAATTTATGCCCACAGGGAAGAAGAGAAAGTAGGCCACCTGGCCGTGGTCAGTAGGACTCTGCTACTTGCTTCATCGGTCAAGGCAGAGAACTGGCCTTAGGGGTGGAGGAAGGGAGGTGGCATCCTAGAATGGAAAACGGAGCTGACACTAACAAAATTAAATTCTGTAGAGGCAAATACGAAGTTACGTTTCCACACGCATAATTATCATAAGATAAAACATGCAGGTCTGCGATGCCTGTTTTGGCTTGGTGTATGCACAGAGGAAGCGAAGATGTGATCGCCTACCAATCACGCCAGTGGTGTGATGCAGCTGCAAAAAGGGCCTGTGTGATTTTAGGCAGCGTTCGCAGAGCCACAGTTTCCACGTCATGCAAAATAATAATTCAGCTGTATTCCGTAGCAGTCTCTCCTCATCTGAAGTGGGGACTTTAAGAATATTTAGCCAGGTTCAGAGAAGGACAGTGAAGATGGTGATTGAGCCATTTCGTTTCAGAAGTGTCACATCGGAAGCGTGGGACAATCAAGTGTAGGGTCCAAAGCACATAATCTGCAGTGGACAAGGATGTCTGGGAATGATGGACTCGAGACTTTGCCCACAAGGAGTCTAGCTCCTGAGGTGAGCGCCCAGGAACTGCTTCACCTGGCGCCCAGGCCATCCTGCTGCACCTCTTGGGGTCCAGGCTGCCTCAGAGCAGGCAGTAGCTGAGTGCACTTGAACTGCTGCCATGGCCTGATGCCTTGTCTTGAGAGAGCAGCTTGGGTACTTCATTTGGAGTAGGAAGCAACACATAAAAGCATGCTTGCATAAATACAAGCATGCTCTCTTTCCTAAAGGGCCCAGGATCTCCCCAAGCCCTTTCTCGCTGCTTCATTGAAATATGGCTCAGGGTATTCTGGTCTGATGCGGATTCCTCAAGAGGAGGCCTGAAAGCAGTGGGTAAGGAAAGAAAGTGAGCAGGGCTGGGAGGCAGAGGCTCTGTTCAGCCACCGGAGAAAATAATGGAAGCAGGGGACCTGGGGTGCTCCTTAAATAAGAGGGCGCACCATTGTTTCCTGTTGTCCCAGATCCAGTGGGCTTCAAACAGGGGAGTGTGGATTTTGGGTGAAGATTTCCAGATTACTTCTGGGCAGGAAGAGGAGTTGATAGTGGAACCGCCAGTGGGAGGGCTGTCTCATGCCGAAGTCTTCAAGCTGAAACTGGACAGTGATTTTGGGAATGCCTTCTCTCTCGGTTTCGTGGATTGAGCAGGGCGTGGGGCGAAGAGGGTCTCCAAGGGGACCTGCAGTGCTGGGATCCTTCTGTCGCTGTGATCTCCTTTTTGCACCAGGAGCTGAGAACACCTTGCCACAGGTGGGCAGTTCCTCTTCACATTTTCACTAGACTGACTGGGCTTGTCTAGTTCATGTGCTGGCAGTGAACCAGATAATTTTATTTTTTCATGTTGTTTCTTAGATCGCTCTTCATAACCCTGAGTGATAGCTGAAGCCCGCATACTGCAAGCAGGGCATTTTTGTCTCTAGCAGCCCCATTTATCTCCATTGTTTTCAACTTATCCACCCCTGACCACAAGGAGGGCCTCTGATTTTCTCCTAAAGCAGATTCTATCTGACCTTTCCTGCTGTTCACCAAACAATCCTTCCTTTGCTAACTAAGTTTTAGGGTTGACTTGGCTAGAAAATACTGCAGG